ATCCCCTTCCCCTCTAGCTGAATCAAAGATATCTGCTTGTCCCCATTCATGGCTACTCCGATCTCTCCAAGCTGCCTATCAAGAAGCCGAAACTGCGAGCTGCATCTCAACCTACAGTGAGCAGCACCGTCAACAGCGGAGGTGCGAGCGATGTCATCAGAGAAGCTAGACAACGAGATATCACAATAGTCGCGCGCCAGCTGGTTCAGAACCTGTCGACCACCAGGCGCATCCGTCAAACAGTGCCGCATCCATGTGACCTGCACGCGCATACTGACGGCGTCAGAATCTCTAAACCCATCATCTAGCTGTGCGCTGTAGGGTCCCAAGAACCAGATACACGATATCGTATCACCAGGAAGCGCACCTTGACCGATCCCGAGAACGAGCGTGCCATCGTCACAGTCGATCGAGACCTGGGCGAAGCGGAGCCGCTGTTTGAAAAGCTCAGCGCCGAACGGATCACTAAATGCGTCAACGTAGGCCTCTAGGTCACTATGATACACGCTGTGGAACGCATTGGTCGCATCGTATAGCGTGGTCATTTTACCGATATGGCGACCATGCAAGCGCGCCGCGCACACATTCAGCACAACTATCGCCTCTTCACGTATACGCCCCTTTAAATAGCCGAACGAGTACACGCGGTCCGCAGCACTCGTGAGCGCAGGGTAGCAGTTCCACAGATACCCATAATAGATTTTGCCGAGCGTGTCCAACGAATGTACAAGCCTCTGGCCCTTACATTCGCTTTTACCGTTGTGTTTATCAAGGGAAAAGGCTTTACTATGATGCCATTGCACTGGGGTCTCCCAGTGATGGCGAATCGAAACGAAGATCCACAGAAGGCGCTTATCAATACTAGGTGGAGAGAAAAAAAAAAAAAAAAAAAAAAAAAAAAAAAAAAAAAAAAAAAAAAAAAAAAAAAAAAAAAAAAAATCCTCTTCGTCGGACATTGGTGCATCTTTACCTCTGTACTTATATTCATTCGGCAGCATCATTAGCCGCCACACTCCAGCAGGAAAGCTCCAGTCGGGTGGCGTGCGACGAAGACGGGCGCGCTTCATCCTCGCGCGCACCGCAAGGAAATCTCCTTGGCCTTGCTGCAGCGCCTCCAGCGTGAGCCCAGGCCTCGGTTCACGCGTCCCCCTGACCTCCACCTCCACAGCCTGGGGCGGGGGGCGAGCCGAAAACCCTCCCAGATGCCCAGGCTGAGCCAGAAAATCGTGCCACGTTTGTTTTTCCAGCCGCGTCCGCGGCTCACAAAAATTTCTCTGCTTGGGGCCCAGGCTATTCTGAGCAAGCAACCGTGAGAGCTTCCAGCACAGGGCCGTGCCCCCAGCCTCCTTAGCGGCGACCAGCTCGCTGGCGTGCAACCCTAACTGACGCAACCGATCCCGACGTAGCAGCTTGCGAAGCTTCTTGTCACGCTTCTGGCACTCGCACACGACACACGCCAAGCACGCGCGCGCTTCCTATACATCGAGACACGCGCGCGAGGCCGCGCACATCCGCCCGAGAAAGGCGCGGGGTAAGAAATCCCGGATACCTACTCCATCCCATCTGATCCACGGCGGCAGCGAGACAGCAGGCGGGAAGGGGGGAAGGGGAGGGGGGGAACCTCACGGAGCTCACGAAGGCGAGCCCTTCCCTCGAGCCTGCTGTCCAGCGCGGCCTGTGCATCTGGGGGTCGTTGCGCGCGCTTCGGCTGCCTGTGAAAATGACACGCGTGCTGCGAAACGACATCGTGCACTCGCTGGTAAACCTCGTCACTACTCTGCAAGCAGTGTGTCGCAAAATCTTCAGCGATGGGGGCGAGTGAACAATCCACGGCATGCAAAGAATCAGCGGATCCCTGGCCAAATCTAATGCTCCTAGCAATCTTGTCATGGTCCCATGACGGGGCAAACGATCCCTGTTGCTCATAGGACTGGCCCACAAAGAAGCGAAGCACAAGCGGGAAGTGGTCGCGCCTGGTGCGCGTGTTAATTATCTGCAGCTTATCGCCCGCCCTCCCCCAGACCTCACACGACTCGATACGACCTTGCATGCAGGTGGGGGCGCACGCGTAGTCCACCCTCGAGGTGGACGCGCCCTTTCCGTGATAAAAGGTCGGCCCCGTTTCGTGAAACGAATTCAACGCTGACAAATAGTGGTGCTCAAGGAGCTCTCTGAAACATTTACCATTGTAATTCTCATCATCTGGCTCTGCCGCTCCAATATGTGGCTCTGCAACGATCGATCCTACACGAGCATTGGCGTCGAGCATCAGTACAGGAACAGTACGAGCGGGCAGAACGTCGAGAAGCTGAGAGAGGCCCTGCCAGAAATGCTTGCAGCGTTTCTCCTGCGCTCTCCTGTCCTTCTGCGACCCGTGCGGCTCAACGTGCGCGTACCCAACGATAAAGGTAATCTCCAGCTTCACACTCTTTACATCTGACTGCTCCAAGCCTTCCTTCCCATCCAGCAGGAGAGAGCACCTTACGTATCATGTGCCCTTGGATCAGTTTGTCATGTAGCAGCAATCCGAGCCCCGTCGGCCTCCCCGATGTCCCTGACGCTCTTGGCCACCGGAACCTGTGGAATCTACCTACGCGATCCTGTTGGCACTCGAGACCCCGTTCCGCCGAGCATTGTGTCCCTTGGAGGCCCACGACAGAACAAGAACGCAACTGAGTAACGATGTCATCCCATCTCCCTGCCTGTCGCAACGATAAAACATTATAACTACACACTCGAAGGAAAGGCATCGCGCGCGCGGCCGCCCGAGCTGTAACGCCTGGGGGAGGCGTCGGAGGCGCAGCAGCGGCACCTCGGGGGCATCTAGATGCCCCATCATGCAGGGTCCCTCGGGCCGAGGGGCTAGCAGGAGGAGGAGGAGGAGGAGGGAGGAGGAGTGAGACGCGGGGCGCTGTCTCTTCAAAACAAGGACCCAACACCACAGGATGGTTGGGAACAGTACAAAGTGTTCGCGGGGCTCACGAGCATGACCCAAGATGTTTCCCAAAATTGTACTACGCATTGTGGTTTGAAAGGGGTTGGTCCTGGTTGACTGCCAGTCGCCTGGGGGAGGGGGTGCTTCTAAATACGGAACAGTGAACCCTCCCCGAAAGAGAAGCAGGCTGAGTGGAAGAGGAAGCACTCCAAGTCACCCACGCCCCAAAGGGCTATGGGATTCCCCTGGATTTCCCCTGGGGGGGGGGGGGGGGGGGGGCAAAAAGCACTAGAGACGCCGTCAGACTTCCGAAGAACTCATAACTGACTTCCCGGACATTTTTACGTCGCAGCGCGGCAGAGGCAGTCCGTCCGCGCGCTCGGGCAAGCCGGGAAACGGCATCGCTAATTGTTCGGCAGTGCGAGCGAGAAAAAGGAAGGAGGAAGCGGCCGCGGCGCGGGAGGGGAGGAGGGAGAGCGCTCACGCGGCGGAGGCCGCTGCGGAGCAGCCAGACTGTCCGGACATCCGGCGCCACGACTTTCTCGGTGCTTGGCTTCTCATTCTTGGCCGTTCCCTGACTCGGCGGCGAGCGAGGGGGGAAAGTGGGAAGGAGAAGGCCTTCTCAGAAGGCGCCTAGACTTCTCAGACGCCCTCGCGCCTTCTAAGAAGTTTTCGGGAGGAGGAGGAGGAGGAGGAGGAGGAGGAGGAGGAGAGGAAGGAGGAGAGGAAGGAGGAGAGGAAGGAGTAGGAGGAGGAGGAGGAGGAGGAGGAGGAGGAGGAAAAGGAGGAGGAGGAGGACGAGGAGGAGGGGGAGAAGGAGGAGGAGGAGGAGGAGGAGGAGGAGGAGGGCTTTGAAAACTTCTGGAGTCCAGGGGACTCGAGCTGGATCCTTCTCCTTTCCCCCGGGCCCGCCGCCGACTCCCGCGGGGCAGGCTTGTCATTCCCGGCCCTTCCCTCACGGCCCCGAGGCCATGCGAGGGCCCCCATCAGGGACCAAACAGGTCCACTACACGCAAGAGTGACCTTTTGTCGGAGTGATTTTTGGGCGCGGGTCCAACGAGGCCCCCCGATCGTGAAATGCGATGCGGCAGCGGCGGCTTTGACGGAGTCCAGGGGACTCGAGCTGGATCCTTCTCCTTTCCCCCGGGCCCGCCGCCGACTCCCGCGGGGCAGGCTTGTCATTCCCGGCCCTTCCCTCACGGCCCCGAGGCCATGCGAGGGCCCCCATCAGGGACCAAACAGGTCCACTACACGCAAGAGTGACCTTTTGTCGGAGTGATTTTTGGGCGCGGGTCCAACGAGGCCCCCCGATCGTGAAATGCGATGCGGCAGCGGCGGCTGACGCGCCTGTTGGTGTCCCCAAAAGGCTCTGTTTGGTCGCGCGATGAGGTCACTCTTGCCTAGGGCCACTCGTGCGTGTACAGTGGGGGCTCATGCCAAGAAACCCTGCTTGCCTCCAGGGTGCCCTGGGTTTCGATGGTTTTGCCATGGAAAACGTGACGTTCCCACACCAAAAAACGATGGACGTCCTGGGGTCTCACGGTTGAGTTTCTTGTGGAATGTTTCTTGTGGTCGGGCCCCTACCGTAAGTTCGCGCGCTGGCGGCCCGCGTAAGCCACCGCGCAGAGTCGTTAGGTATCGGGCGTAAGACCCGTTTGATCACAGTAACCCTGTGCATGTCTCCGCGACCCCGTCGAGTGCATGAGCATGCGCTAGCATCTGGTAATGGGTGAGGAATCCCTATTCTAGCGTCGACTTAGCGTCGGCCAGCATCGATTCAGCATCAATGTGGCGTCGATCCAGCGTCGATGATAGCGTCGATTCGCAAGAGCCAGCAGGATGGCATGGGTGACACCTAAGAGTGACCTCTCGCCGGAGTGACCTTCGGTGCTGGCCCCCCGACCGCTGAATGCCATGCGATAGCAGCGGCTTGCCCGCCTGGCGGTGTCCCCAGAGGGCCACCCTTGGCCGCGCACCAGAGGTCACTCCTTGCCCAGGGCCACTCCTGCGTGCAGCCGAGAGGCCTCCGTGCGCTGCCACCGCGCCCTTCCGCCTCCCCGCCCAGGTGGAAGCACATCAAGGCGGCCCGCGGCGCCCCCCCTGCGGCCCACGGGGCGGCGCAGCCCTCCGCCGCGCCGGCCGCGGCGCCGGCCGCGGCGCCGGCCGCGGGCGGCGGCCGCGGCGGCGCGGCGCCGAGGGGCCCGGAATGGACGATCCTGGACAGAGTCGGGGCTCAAGGGGCGGGGGTCAAGGCAAGCGGGGCCTCGAGGCAAGAGAAGCGAGAGGCCGAGGGCGGCGAAAACGGACACGTGGTTCATGTCTAATTCTTCGAGAGTTCTTTGAGTTCTGGGGGGCCAAGATCCTTTCACTTCTAGTTGTTCTATCCTGGGCCTCTTCCTGGCCGCTAGGAGGCCAGGAACAATTTGCGACGAGCACAATCAGAAATGAGCACGATCATAGAAATGAGCGACGCGTACAGATCGCCACGTAGAGACGTCTTCCCCCCCAGGGCAGCGGAGAGCCTCGAGCCTGGAAGCCCGCCCTCCCGCCCTGCCCGCCGCTCGCCCCGCCCTGCCCAGCCCAGCCCAGCGGCGCCAGCAGGCTCCTCCTCCCCCCCTCCCTCCCTCCCTCCCCTCCCTCCCCTCCCTCCCCTCCCCTCCCCCCTCCCTCCCCTCCCCCCTCCCTCTCCTCCCTCCCCTCCCTCCCTCCCTCCCTCCCTCCCTCCCTCCCCATCCCGGATGGGCGAGCGGGAGGCGGGGTCGGGGCTCAAGGGTTAAGCCGGGCATGTCCCTCTACAGGAGTATTCTGACGATGCTTGGGTATTTGTTTCAGAGTTTCCTGACGATTGTGTGACCTCTCGTCCAAGTTGCGCCTGTAGAAGGACATGCCCGACCTAACTCAAGGGACGGGGGTCCATGCAAACGGGGGTCAGCCAGGCCGCCGGGTCTTGCAGGATCCTGCAGAGCCAGGGATGCACTGACCCGGGCTAGCGCGCAGGATCTTGCAGGATCCGGCAGGATCCCGATTGACCTGGGTTTCGATTGTCCTGTGTCAGTGCGGCCCCGACAGAGGAGCGCTGTCCGCCGCCAGCCCATGATGTTCCTTGCTTGGATTCTAGGTTTCCAAGGTGGGGTCCGAGCAGATGGGGCTGGAGGATCGCGCCGCATCGCCGATGCATCGCCGATGTGGCTCAGTGTGGAGGCCGATGTTTGTCCACGCCGAAGGCGCCGATGCATCGCCGACGTCGTCGATGCGTCGCCGACATGCATTGACGATGCGGCACGATCCTCCGACCCCATCTACTCCGAGCCCATGATACTTCCTGCTTACATGACCGCGGAAAGGTTCTGGGAAAGGTCCTACCTTCAGGATTTTGACGTACGCGCCATGTTTGGCCCTCCGTGAGGCTCCTCGTGGACACGACTTGATTCACCTCGGGATTCTCCCCGGGACAGGTCTGCGGCTCATTTTTGGACTTCCCGACCCAGACCCACCCGCTCGCGTCGTGATCTCGACGGAATGTTCACTGGTCGGCTTTTGTTTGGATGACGAATGTCCGAAGTGGCCTGAAGGGTCAGGTAATTCATGTAAGTGGGCTCCGCCCACCTGGCCCAGATCTCTACCCCCCGCAAACCGCGTAGGGTACTCCCAATCCGCTCATAAGCTAGGTTCGGCCAAATACAAGTTCTTCACGCTCCGCGTATCCCAACCAGCCCTAGTCACTGCGAGTGAGGCCGCCTTCTGTGCCCCTCTTTCTCCTGCCGCCGCGTGCCTTTGTGCCTGCTGTGTTTCTCCACTTCCTTGGCCTCCTTCGTTTCTTGGACGGTGCGGCCACCCCGGCCACTCCGTGCCGCTCCAGCGCAGCGTGCCCCGGCCATACGCGCTGTTCGGTACGGTCAGAGCCTGGCGCCATTTGTGCGACTGCTCCTTCCGTCCCCAGTTCGGGCTTGCGTTCCGATTTCGGGTCGCCTACGTCCTAATGAAGGTCATTTTGTCCCTGGCGCGTGCATCTGCTGCCGTGGCCTATGCGCCTCTGCAGCTAATTATCTCGCCCTGTGCCCCAGCCGAGTCCGTCCCGCTTCCTGGATCTGTCCTTGGAGCCGCCAATCAAAAAAAAAAAACCAAACAGGCCGTTCAGAAGCTCTGCCCATCAGAGCTGACGGTAGAAGGAATAAAGGGACGCATAGTAAGACAAAGCGGGCAACCAGGATGACCAAAAAGATCTCTGGGAGTAAAGGGGTGGCCGGAGGGCTGCTTCGGGCCATCCCTGGGGCCAGCGGGGGGGAGCCAGGGGATGATGATGATGGTGTTGATGATGGTGATGATGATGATGGTGATGATGATGATGGTGTTGATGATGATGGTGATGATGATGGTGATGATGGTGATGAGGAGGAGGAGGAGGAGGAGGAGGAGAAGGAGGAGGAGGATGACAAGTGCAAACACAAGTCCTTCAATTAGCCTGACCAAGGACCCAACCATATGTGGCTGCGAGCGCCGCATTGTGGGTACCGCTTTCGGTGGAGCTCCCTATGGGGAACCGAAGCGTGCGAGGGGGGCGCCGAAATCGGTGGCGCGGACGCATGCGGACACTGCCACTGGAACCTTCGGTGGAGCTGCCTATGGGGCCACGAAGCGTTGTATTGGGTGGCGGTGACGCATGCGGACACTGCCACTGGAGCCTTCGGTGAAGCTCCCTATGGGGCCACGAAGCGCTGTCTTGGGTGGCGGTGACGCATGCGGACACTGCCACTGGAGCCTTCGGTGGAGCTCCCTATGGGGCCACGAAGCGCTGTCGTGACGCATGCGGGCACTGCCACTGGAGCATTTGGTGAAGCTCCCTATGGGGCCACGAAACGCTGTCCTGGGTGGCGGTGACGCATGAGGACACTGCCACTGGAGCTGTCGGTGGAGCTCCCTATGCGGCTACGAAGCGCTGTCTTAGGTGGCGGTGACGCATGCGGACGCTGAAACTGGAGCCTTCGGTGAAGCTCCCTATGGGGCCACGAAACTCTGTCTTGGGTGGCGGCGACGCATGCGGACCCTGCCACTGGAGCCATTTGCGGAGCTCCCTATGGGGCCACGAAGCGCTGTCCTGGGTGGCGGTGACGCATGCGGACACTGCCACCGGAGCCTTCGGTGGAGCTCCCTATGGGGCCATTAAGCGCTGTCCTGGGTGGCGGTGACGCATGCGGACACTGAAACTGGAGCTGTCGGTGGAGCTCTTTATGGGGCCACGAAAGTGTGTCCTGGGTGGCGGTGACGCATGCGGACCCTGCCACTGGAGCCGTCGGTGGAGCTCCCTATGGGGCCACGAAGCGCTGTCTTGGGCGGCGGTGACGCATGCAGACACTGCCACTGGAGCCTTCGGTGGAGCTCCCTATGTGGCCACGAAGCGCTGTCGTGACGCATGCGGACGCTGCCACTGGAGTCTTCGGTGAAGCTCCCTATGGGGCCACGAAGCGTTGTCCTGGGTGGCGGTGACGCATGCGGGCGGTGCCACTGGGGCCTCCGGTGGAGCTCCCTATGGGGCCACGAACCGTGTAAGGGGTGTGCCGAATTGCGTGGCTGTGACGCATGAGGACGCAGCCACTGGGGCCTTCGGTGGAGCTCCCTATGGGGCCACGAACCGTGTGAGGGGTGTGCCGTAATGGGTGGCGGTGACGCGTGAGGACGCAACCACAGGGGCGTTCGCTGGAGCTCCTCATGGGGCCACGAACCGTTTGAAGGGTGTGCCGAATTGGGTGGCGGTGACGCATGAGGACGCAGCCATTGGGGCCTCCGTTGGAGCTCCGTATGGGGCCACGAACCGTGTAAGGGGTGTGCCGAATTGCGTGGCTGTGACGCATGAGGACGCAGCCATTGGGGCTTTCGGTGGAGCTCCCTATGGGGCCACGAACCGTGTGAGGGGTGTGCCGTAGTGGGTGGCGGTGACGCATGAGGACGCAGCCACTGGGGCCTTCGGTGGGGCTCCTTATGGGGCCACGAACCGTGTGAGGGGTGTCCCGTAATGGGTGGCGGTGACGCATGAGGACGCAGCGACTGGGGCCTCCGGTGGAGCTCTGCATTGTGGCTCGGTGATGATGATGATGATGATGATGATGATGATGATGATGATGATGATGATGATGATGATGATGATGATGATGATGATGATGATGATGATGATGATGATGATGACGGTGACGATGGTGACGATGGTGACGGTGATGCTGATGATGGGGAGAGGGAGGGGGGCAGCGGGAGGAAGGCGCTGGCGCTGTCTGTTCAAAACGAGGACCCAACACCAAAGGATGGTTGGGAAAACACATAAGGGAAACCAATGATGTTGGCCTCTTCGGGCCCTCCTGGAGGACCTCTTGGAGGCCTCTGGGGCCGTCTTGGAAGCCTCTTAGAGCCCTCTTCGACCGTCTTGGGCCATCTTGAGGCTATCTTAGGCTGTCTTGAGTGCATCTTGGGCCGTCTTGGAGGCATCTTGGGGCCATCTTGGCCGTCTTGGAGGCATCTTGGAGGCCATCTTGAGCCGTCTTGGAGCATTGTGTTGTGGACGTTGAGGTCGTTTGTGCGCCTGGAGCTCCCTCCCGGGACCCTGGCGTGACGGGCCGAAGCGCCAGGGGGAGTTCTTTTGGAAAAAGAACCAAAACCAAACCGTCAGAAGCCCGGCACGCCAGGCACCCTTGCGATGAATCAACAGGGGGCCCCTTTGATCGAAGACGCCTACGGCGAATCACCGCTGCCCCTTGCCTTTTTGGAAGCGCCTATGTGGCCGAACGGTGAGGTGAGGCCAGACCTGCCAAGCTATCGGACCATGTGTTCCCCGAATCGGTTTGGAAAGCCTTCGGGGAACACGTGGGCATCTTAAAGGTCATCTTGGCCGTCTGGAGGCCATTTTGATCCTTTCGGGCCTTCTTGGAGGACGTCTTGCAGGGCTCTTGGACCGTCTTGGAGGCCATCTTGAGCGTCTTGGAGACTTCTGTGGCCGTCTTGGGGGCCTCTTGGGGCCGTGTCTTGGGGGCACTTGGGCCGTCTCGGGCCGTCGGAAGGCAGAACAAAAGCAAATGCCACAATCCTCCAAAAACCCATGGGATATCAATGATTTTGGCCTTTTCGGGCCTTCCTGGAGGCCCTCTTGGAGGCCTCTTGGGCCGTCTTGGGCCATCTTAGGGCCATGTTCGTCCGTCTTGGTGGGCTCCTAGTCCGTGTGACGCCGTCGGTAGCC